CATATTTGTGTTGGTCTCATGAGGATGACAGCCATTTTACCCCTGGAGCTCTGGTTGATTTAGCAGTCAAAGGATTTCACTTTTTAAGCTTCTCTATTGCCTTTCATAAATCCTGAGGAGGGAATGTGTGGGGGGGGGGGGGGGGGGGGGGGGAGACCCGATGTCATCAATGCATAAGTGCCGTCTGCTTCCTAGAAAAGGGCTACTCAAATGATTACAAATATTTATCCCGGTTATAGAGGTACCTAGAGATTTAAAGCAAAGATCAGGCTTATCTTGACAGGATATCATCATGACAGGTTCTTTGAAAATTGATAAACGTCATCGCTTCCACATGTAACCTATAGTTTAAATTTCAGGCAAGAAATGATGAATGGATACCATCAGAAAAAGAGAAATAAAAGCGAGAATGCCAGATTCCTCCCTAAGTTTTATAAATGAAGGTTCTCAATAAGGGACAAGATGAAAGTGTAACAGGCTAAGGTACAGTGTTGTGCGTGTAGCCACAAACTGAGAATCGGAATAACACCTAGGTGAGAAAGGCCCACACCATTGATGCAGCATAGCGGGTGTACATTTGAATTTGTGGCTGAGTCAAGGAAACTAATACAGAGACATAGAATGAGGTGGCTTATGTCTGTCCGCTGGAAGGTAAGCTGAGCCTAGGCTAATTATTCCTCTGTCATTAGTGGAGGTATCTAAATTGCTAAGGTGAGTGGAACACCATATATATGGTGAGTGGAAACGCCAGTTCTAAATGTGCCCACTTCTTTTCATTGTCTGGAGGTAGACACAGGAGTGCAGTCTTGAGACAGTGATTAAAGTCATGTTAATAGGCAAGATCTCCTAGAAGAAAGTAGGGGAGGAGAAAGGAGGAGAGTGAAGAAGCTCTTGAGGTTATGGCAATCATAGTAGAAGGAAATGATCAAGGGAAGAAAGCGAGGAAGTGACAAGAGTGACCAAAACGAAGGAAGGTATGAAAGAACACTTCTTATACCTTAAGGAGGCTATGAAGAATCAACCACAGAAGAAGAGAGAGAGCACATTGGTTTTGGCAGGG